GTAGTAGTGGTAGTAGTAGTGGTAGGTGTAGTAGCAGCTTGTTTTGCGAGACCTACCGAGGTTGTAGACAAGCGGAGTCGTTTTCTGGCACCAAACCCTAAACCCTAAACCCTAAACCCTAAACCCTAAACCCTAAACCCTAAACCCTAAACCCAAACCCTAAACCCTAAACCCTAAACCGTTCAGGAGCCTGGATGCAAAGTATCTTCCCTCCCATGCCGCTGCAGCCTCAGGAGACCTACTGAGTTCGGGGTTTTGGGATCACGATCTTGCCGTTCTTCTGGGTGGCTCTTAGGACTTTAGCTTTTGGGGCTTCTATATATGAACCATAACAAGCAGGCTGGACTTGAACTTTTGGGGCTTCTATGTATGAACCATAGAAAGTAGGCTAAACAGTTATAACTTTGAGGAGGGGTTCAGAAGTCAGCCCAGCGAACATCGCTTTGGTCTTCCGCCCTGATCCCGCTCAGCTCGCAAGGCTCGGGCGTGTCTTGGAAAGGTCTGACCTAAACCCTACTCCCCAAAACCCTAAACCCTCAGTCCTAAACCCTCCACCCTAAACTTTAAGGCCCTAAGCCCTAAACCAGCGATCCCTAAACCCTATAGATCCCTAGACCCTAACCCCCACACCCAAACCCTAAACCCTAAACCTTAAACCTCAGGTCACGTCTTCCATGTGGAGTGCATCGAGAGATGGATGCTCCAAGCTGCTCGCGTGAACCGGGCCCTTTGCTGCCCGCTTTGCAGAACCCAGGTCCCGGAAAGTCCCAAGGGCGCCGAGGGGCTCTGACTTACTGCAGAAGTATCCATCTAGACACTTATAAACATTTTAATATGAGGAGCGGGTTGCAGAATGTCCGCTAGTATATTAGTATAGAGGAGACTATCACGCCCTAGACGGTCATGGTATGCAATGTGTCCTTCGGTTGTAGTGCGCTGTCACTTTGATACCATCTGACAGCTTGGCTTCGAAGTAGACGTTGGCTTCCGCTTGCGAGCTGAAGGCATTGCAACCTGAGCATCCAAGCCGAAAATGCCGTGCAGTCAAAAACACAGGGAATCCAGAGGTTCGAACTTGGTTTCAATTCTTCAGAGCTTTCTCCCCAAACCCCGTAAAGCCTAAACCCTAAACTCTTAAACCCTAAGCCCTAAACCCTTAAACTCTAAACCCTAAACCCTAAACCCTAAACCTTAGCTTTTGCTTTCAGCCTTGGCGGCGTGCTGATGCATCGCCCCAGACGCTGTGGATGCCAAGCCTCTGCCACACCGCGGTTGTTCAGAAACCGGTCTCCAGGCTAGTATCGGGGCCTAAAATAATATTACCAGTACTGTTTTTTGGGGCTACTTGTCACAATTATAGCATAATATATACCCCTAAACCCAAAACCCTAAACCCTAAACCCAAAGCCCTAAACCCCAAACCCTATTCTATATTTTCAGGGCCCTCTATTAGTAAGCTCGACGCCTTGAAGTTCTATTACTCCCGAGGATGCTACAACGCCCAAAAGGTATGAGACCCACAAAAGTTTCAAATGTTGAAAACCTGTATACCATAAGGACGAAAAGGACCTTAAAAGTAGGGGCGCTATTCCCTTATACTATGAATCACTACATGGTATATGAACCCTAAACCCTTCAGGGCGCGTTTCGTCCCTAGGGTAAACCACTCTAGTCTACAAGATCCTGACTGCCCGAACCCTAATAAAAGCCCGCACAAGACTCTGCAAGAGTATTGCGCTACAATGGTGTGCCAAACTGTCCCAAAAATATGCAAATATATGGGCCTGTTTCTCGTAAATAAAACGATCCCTTCGGCCCTGTAAAAACACCGACAAAACTTCATGTTGATGATCAAGGCCACCACGACATTAATTTCTAAACCCTCCGAACAGTCTTTGAGAGGCGCCTCAATGGCGGTGCTCCGCTCCTGGCAACAGCCATGGACTCCGTGCCAGGGCCCTCTGTGTAACTTAGGGCACAGGATCCAGTCTAATGTAGGGCCTGAAAAAATCCTATATAAACCCTAAACCCTATAAATGTAGGGCCTGAAAAAATGGTAACATTGTTCAGATAGGTACTGCAGGAGTGTAGGTCTTTCCGGGGTTTGAGGATTAGGGATCGAGGGCTTGAGGCTTTGATGTGGGGCAGTCTTACGGCTTTAGCATTTCGAGGTTTAGGGTTATAAAGGGTTTAGGGTTTAGGGTTTAGGTTTAGAAGGGGTTGGGGATGCAATGCCCGCAGAGCCCATCCTCGCTGCAGGAAACCTGATCTTGCAGATGAGGTGGCCTCTTTGCCATCCTCGGTTCAGGGCGTACGGGACCCCGACACCCATGCAAAAAATAACTGCGACCCCTAATAACTGCGACCCCTAAACCCCTAAACCCCTCAACCCTAAAATCCCTAAACCCCTAAACCCCTGAACCCCTCAACCCTAAAAGACCCTAAAAATCCCTATACCCCTAAACGCCTGAACCCCTCAACCCTAAAAGACCCCCAAAATCCCTAAACCCCTAAACCCCTGAACCCCTGAACCCCTCAACCCTAAAAGACCCTAAAAATCCCTAAACCCCTAAACCCCTGAACCCCTCAACCCTAAAAGACCCTAAGAATCCCTAAACCCTAAACCCTAAACAAGCGAAAAACTGCTCTGAAGGCTTCGGTGCATGTCAGCTCTCTACCCTCTGCTGACGCTGCGCCTGGCCTCAGCTTCTTCGGGGTCGTGGGGTATAGATGTGAGCTCGGTCGAAGGGTGTCGGTGTTCAGGGTTTATAGGGTTTAGGGGTGTAGGGGTGTCGGTGTTCAGGGTTTAGGGTTTAGTCTTCAGGGTTTAGGGTTTAGGTGTTTTAGTGTTCAGGGTTCAGTGTTTAGTCTTCAGCGTTGTAGTTGTATGCTTTTGTAACTTTTGTAGATCTGGGGTTTAAGGCTTTGGGGTTTAGGGTTTACGGTACAGTGAGGCTCCGGAACCTCGCATGTCATAAGGGCTGCATGGCGTTTCGTACGGTGTTTCTGGCAACTCCATGGGGTTCTACAGTGACTTACAGGACTTTTGGAGTTAGTGAGGATAGTATAGAGGCCTTAAGAATTAGCATAGGGTTTTGGGGGCCCATTGTACTCTAACAGGGAACCTGCAGAATAGTATTGGTAATTATTTAGGCCCTATCCCAGTGTCTTTTATCACGGCGGCACATGCGTCACCACATGCGGAAGGCATCAACTGATGCTGCACATTACCTTATGAAACCCTAAACCCACAATCCATTCGTAGTCGTCGTGGTGTTTGACAGCAGCTCTCGTGACCTACGGAAGCCACAAGCAGGGTAGGTCTGGTTGGTTCGCACATCTTCAGATGTCGATGGGAGTCTGGGAATTGGGTTTGGGGTTTAGGGTTTTAGGGTTTAGGTTTTAGGTTTGAGGGGGTTTAGGGTTTAGGTTTTGGGGTTTAGGGTTTTAGGGGTTTTGGGGTTTAGGTTTTCGGGTTTGCAGGGGCACTAGAATCATCCGGTGGTGTGAATAGTTCCCCGCTGGTGTTCAGTCTCGAAGGCGTTCTGAAGTGGGTCTCGATTTCTGTAGCATGGACAAATCCTAATTAAGCCCTTTAAACGCCGGCTAAGCCCTTCCTCGGAAAACCGCGGAAAACGCAGCGCAAGGACCGAACTTTGGCACACTCTTGGTGTCCTGGATGCTGTTGTGGCCGCGGGCTTACCATGGGGCCTACGTTTAGGTTCTGGGGTTTAGGGTTGAGGGGTGCTATACCTCGAAGTAGTAGAGTAGGTAGCCGTTGACCGGCTTGGAGTACTATAATCCGTATGTAATCCCAAAGTTTCACCGTTACTTCCGCTAGGATGCCGGGCACGGATTAACTATACCACGCTGCACCCCCAAACGACATTCTAATTATGAAGGGCCCTAAGCCCTAAACCGGTTATCTGACTTGTAGATCTTCTGTCATCCTGAAACAGCCCTCAGCGATGCAGCCCTAGACTCTAGACCCGAAGCGTGCAAGAGTAACTAATGACTACCCATATGGAACAAATTTAGGGGCCTTAATAGTTAGAATAAGCTTTTGGGTATTTTAGATAATAATGATAATAAGGAACCCCCCCAAAACCCCATTCTCATTATTCGGGCCCCTACATTACAGCATAACCCAAGAGCCTACGACAGACCCTAAGCCCCAAACCCAGCTCATCCCAAGCAGCCTCGCGATATAGAGAACCACAGGAGCCACACCCAGACCCCCAAAAGGATCTAAGAAATAGATCCCCTAAGGAGTTCCTATAAAGTACCCTTTAGTAGTTAGGGTCCCTAATGAGGGGATCTATTTTTTAGATCCTTTTGGGGGTCTGGGCAGTGCACAAGGGCAGCTCCGCAGTTGCAGCCCTAACCCCTAAACCTCAAGCCATGACGCCTGAATCCTAAGAGATTCGGGGTTTAAATAAACGCAAAGCCCTGAACCTTAAACCCTAAAATCCGTTAAAGTCTAAGCACTTCAAGAGCCAGGTCGCATTTCTTAACAAGATTGCTGTGAATTGGGGCGCCTGGGGTTTGTTCTGGGGTTCATGGCGCTGCTGCTACGGAGGAGTCGAAGGGTTGTGGTTTGGGGTTTACGGTTGAGGGTTGTTTAGGGTTTAGGGGATTGAAGAGGGTTACGTTTCTTATGATCACTGCTACTGTCATTACTGTTGCCCATTAACGATCATTACTGCCATGGCTATTTTATGTGTTCTATGTTATTATTAATGTATTAAGTGCTACGACTATCAGGACTACTTCCAGTACTACTCGCTCTCTCTCTCTCTCTCCATACATATGTATGCATGTGAGTTTATATATACGTGTGTATGTATGTATGTATATATATATATACACACGCACACTTACACATATCTGTATACATATACACGTGTATGTGCTGCATATATATATATATACACACACACACATAAACCCTTAAACCCTAAACCCCCTACACGCTAAACCCCTAAACCCCTAAACCCCCAAACCCTAAACCCCCGACACCCCTAAACCCTAAACCCTAGGCCCTAAACCCTAAACCCTAAACCCACAACCCAAACCTTTCGCAGCTCGGGGACGGGGTCTCGGGAGTTCTCCAGCGGCTGAGGAGCGGAACTCGCAGCTCCGAGGCGTTCTAGGACGGGTTTAGGGGGTTTTGGAGGTTTAGGGGGCTTAGTGGGTTTAGGGTTTAGGTTTAGGGTTTGGGGTTTAGGGTTAGGGGTTTAGGGTTTAGGGTTTAGGGTTTAGGGTTTAGGGTTTAGGGGTTTAGGGGTTTAGGGTTTAGGGTGTCGGTTTTGGGGCCAATGGTCTATGGGTTTGGGCTTCAGGTTTTGGGGTCTATGGTTTATGGGTGTTGGGTTCCAGGTTTTGGGGGGTTCAAAAGGGCTTATGGTTTGGGGTTGTTTGGATATTGCAAGCTTTAGGGTTTGTCGTTTGGGGTTCAGGGTTTGCGTGGGGTTTCGGGGGCCCTGGGTTTTGCCCTAACCCTAAACCCTAAACCCGGTTTTGTGGGAGTGTCTAGAGGTGCTGCAGTGTTGTATGAGGATTTTGTAGGGGTTTAGCATCAAGGGTTTGTGCGTAAATACACCTTGAATGGGGGTCTCAGATGTTGCATTCAGAGAAAATTTACTAGTCTTCCCCATAGAACCCTAACCCTATAAAACCAAACCCGAAACCCTAATCCCTATAACCCTAAACCCTCAACCCTAAACCCCTACAGCCGTACAACCCCAACCCTAACCCTAAACCCTCAACCCTCAACCCTAAACCCCTCAA